AGAAAAAGAACAATATCAGAAGAAAGCATTCCAAAGCTTGCAGCATTCCTGCATGCTATATGTAAATAAGTATAAAACAAAGCCAAGTCCCAAGGTGATAATTTAGTTTCTGTTAAAATGAATTAGCTTATTTGGCTACTCTGACTTATACATGTGGATCAGGTCCCACTGGAGAGATCTTCATTTTTATGGTAAAATTGTATTGTTTTAAGCCTATTTGCTATTTAAATAAGGGGAAAACGGACCCATTCTATTCTGGAACATCTGCTAAATCCATAATCAGTTTGTCAGCTGAGGTTAGCAATGTAGAAGGGGGCAGCTGATCAGGCTGCCCTTGGTGTCACTGAGGCTTCTGAGAATTAAACTAAGAGAGTTTCAGTAGACAAGGGGGTATTTCAATCAGCCTCCAAAAAAAAGTAAAAAATAAAAAATTGGAAGGGAGGGGAGAAAGAAATTTCTGAAAACAGAAGTTTGGCTTTCTTTTTTCCTTCTAGTACTCCTCTCCCTCACTGTCCCTGCTGCCTTTATAGTTATGTATACTTCTGACTATCAAATCAGAGGTGGAGGCCCACACATTCCCTTGCTGGCTTTAGTTCAATATAAATATGATCATATTTCATCATCTTGATCATTATTATTTTCTCAGTTAATAAAACTTTGAGAAAGCATTTTCCAATGATGTTAATATTATGTTTTTTTAAAAAAAAATTTTTTTGGCTGAGATCAGTTTTAGGAAAATGTATAATATATAGTGGCTGTGTATGGGTGTGTGTGTGGGTGGGGGGGGGGGGGGGGGGGGGAGGGGGGAGAGAATTATCTATGGAAATAAGTTATTCTATATCTACTGCTTATATTTGTACTCACAGACACTCTCAAAAATAAATACACAGAAAAAAAGAAATAAAGAAATAAATTTATAATTTATTTCATTATTTGATCTTTGTATGTGTGTGTGTATGTGTGTGTGTGTCTATGCTATATGTGTGTGTATTTAGATATAGACAAATGATTTATACTCTGCCTTTGAGGAGCCAAATAGGCACACATAACACTCGCTTCTCTAGTCTTGCCTCACAACAACAATTCTATGAGGTAGAATTGCAAGTGACCGGGTCAAAATCCCTCACTGAATTTCCATGACTGTAATTTCCATTGAATCAGAACCTGGATCTGTCCACTCCTAGTTTAATGCCTTAATCACTAATCTAAGTAAGATGCCTTAGAGTCATGGCATACTTCTTGTATTTGAAGCCAACATTTGGATTTGCCTGTTTATATTTAAAGTATGTGTATAGAACTGTTTAGAAATAGCAGTAGCAGTCACTATAGACATATACTGCTTCATAGTGCTTTATACCACTCTACAAGTGGTTCACAGAGTCCGCATATTGCCCCCAACAATCTGGGCCCTCATTTTACCAACATCACAAGGATGAAAGGCTGAGTCAACCCTGAGCTGGTCAGAATCGAACCCCTGGCAGTGAGCTGAATTAGCCTGAAATACTGGATTCTAACCATTACACCACCATAGCTCCTGTCACTGACATTTCTAGGAGAAGTTGATGAGAAAAAGTTTCAGTGTCTTCTTCTAATAATAATATGACTCACAGCTCATATTCTGTGGCAATTCCTTTAACTCCATCAAACATCCACATCAGCCTATTCCAGGTTCTTGAGAAAGACTCAATAGATGGATAAAAATGCCAAATCTACTCTGAATATTTGGCTGATAGTGCAACAAAACATAATAATATGCAAAATTAGCCACTCCCTATCTGGTTGTAAAACTCTGGTGATGGCACAGCAGCTAGGAAATAGAGAACACTTTAACCCTTTGATGCCACCATGTGGTTCTCCAGATTTATGCACCTCAAGCATGGTATTCTTATTGAAAACTGCCAGTGACTTCCTGAACGCTCTCATCCTGCTCTACTGAGCAATTCTGCCTAAGGGAGAAAAGAAGTTCCACTTTCTTAGAGAATATATTCCCAGAGGTGGATAAAAAACATTCTTTCAAGTCAGTTTCACATTTGCAGTGCTCATTCATAACTGTGCTATCATGCTCTCAGCTATTAAAAAAAAAAACCCATAAAATAATATTTAATGCATTTTTTCATGAAGAATAACATTCTTAAAGTTTTTTGGACAAAATCTGAATTTACAAGCATAGATTATGCTAAAATGTGTATTTTGGGGGGATTAGTTTAAGCCAATAGCTGCAACACCTGGTTCAGAGAAATGTAAAATTTAAATAGATTTAAGATTCTGGAATCCACTTATTTTGCATCAGAATTGTATCTACAGCAGACAGCAATATAAGGAAGGGGGTGCTTTGATTTACCAAATGTGAATGTTACAGATTTAGCTTGGCCAGTTACCTTACCTTTTATAGTTACTCCTCAGTTAAGCTCTAAATTGAAAACATAACACAAAGCATACGCCTGCATATTAGTTCACCTGCTGTACTTTCTAGCTTTATTCCTATGATAATTTAAACAAAGTTTCATATGCTAAAGTGAATATATTAAGAGTAGATTGAAGTATTTCAGTTGGCTAAGCACACACAAAATTACTAGCAAATATTGGTTGACATTAATCATAACTTATACATTTAAACGAATGACAACACTGCTCTAAATTAAATAGTCCAAACTACTGACATATAAGTTTCTTTTTCTGTCTCTTTCTTTCTTTCTTAAATAAAACCTCTTCATTTTAGTGAAGAACAAAGCCTTTAATTCTTCTAATCTTTATGGTGCTAGCAACCTGGTGTCAAAAAAGCTAGTCAAGATGTGTTGTCTTTCAGATCTATGGAACAGAAATTGGAGTCACAGGAGAATTTCTACCCAAGTTCCAAGAAGAGCGCATTAACGTCCTAACTACTTCCCATGGAAATCACAGTTGTATCAACATCCTGCTGTTTTGTTTGCATTTAATTTGGGATATAACTCTCTATGCTCTCAGCATGGATCCCATCATTAAATGAAAGTATACCATGGGTTGTAAAAAAGATCAACCAAGTGTTCCATTTTCAAAGGTAGGTTTTGTGGAGAACATAAATAACACTGTCTATTTACTGAAGATTATATAACATACATAAAAGTATACCAATAAAAGAAAGAAACAATTTTTAGAGTACTGGTGTTGAGATAGTTTATAAAATGTAGATATAAAATAGATTTAGCCAGTAATCTATTATTCATTCATGCATACACACACACACACACACACACACACCTATACAATACTCACACTCCTTTCTCATATGCATGCACTCACATATGCATATATTCAAAATGCCAATTGACAGAAATTATGAAAATTCCATCTCTTACATATGGACACCAGCAGGTGATAACACTTGCCCCATCTTGCTGGGCTCAGAAGTAAGCAAAATCAGGCAATTATTTGGATGGGAGACTTCAAGACAATTATGAGGACTATAGACTAGGGAGCAAGTAAATATTAATAATTCTAAAAGGTGGAAGTGGAAAATCATTTCCATATTGTTACCAAAAAATCTCTACACAGACATATCCATGAGGCTGAAGGAGCTTGAAGGAGATATTCTTTTATCTAATATATGTCCCTCTCAATATTATGTAACTATGGTCAAAGCTAATTATGACCTGGTGCATTTGGTAATCCATGAAAATGAGAGCATACTAGGGTTCTATAAATTATCTGGACATTTTTGGAAATGCTTTTAAATTGTCTTTGCTTCTTAATTCAACTATGACAACAATGTACTACAAAGTTGGTATGTGATATTTTCCTTAGGAGTATGATATTCTTCCAAACATAAATTTGTGGTTGCAAGAGAAAAAAAGACAGAAAGAAAGAAAAGAAAGAAAGGGATAGTGAGAGAAAGAAAGAAAGGAAGGAAGGGAGGAAGGGAGGGAGGGAGGGAGGGAGGGAGGGAGAAAGAAAGAAAGAAAGAAAGAAAGAAAGAAAGAAAGAAAGAAAGAAAGAAAGAAAGAAAGAAAGAAAGAAAGAACCCTTTTTGATAAATACCATATATTTTAAAATTTAGTCTTCATAATGCGATAGGCTATTTTGGAGCATTGATATATAGTATAATCTAATGATACAATCACATAAAGAGAAATGTAATAACTATTTGAATATACTGAGTTCTTTCAAGCATGCAAAAAAAATTTCTGAAGGAAAAAGAAAAAAAATAATTCTCCCCCCCTCACCCCAAATATTATGTATATAATGGCAGAATGCATCTTTTCAGAAAACAGAGAACATCAAAACTACCATAGTCATTGGTTTGGAATAGTATGGTTTGAGAGTTGCCTCTCTCTTGAGCCTGCCATCAAGAGTTTGATAGTATTCATCATAGCATTCAACATGACTATAAGAAGCCCTTATTGGGAAAAGAGAAATTTCAATAACATGATTATCGAATAGGTTTGATGTGCCACTCATACCTATATTTTCGTTGGATGAATAAATGAAAAAATGTCAAGATTTCTGTAGCTTTCAACTTTATTTATCACTATTACTCAATGTATCATTTTCACAAAACCATTTATTTGAACTTAAGTGATAACAATTTGATGACAGTAAGGAAGCAAACTCTTTTACATGTGGGACTGAAGTTCAAGAGAAGATCACTAACATAGTGTATATATACCAAGGGTCTTCAAACTTGGCAACTTTAAGACTTGTGAACTTCAGCTCCCAGAATTCATGAACTAACATGACTGGAGAAGGAATTCTGGGAGTTGAAGTCCACAAGGCTTAAAGTTGTCAAGTTTGAAGACCCCTGACATATATCAATGAGTGAATATCAATTTAATCTTCAAGAAGCATTTCCTGCTACTACCATCTGCAAATAACAAACTATTCTGGTCCAACTTCTATAGCTCCATATTATTACTTATTCAGCTTAATTCATTTTCATTTTGGTGAAGAAATCTTCTGTCTATGAAATAAAGAGCTGAAAATGTTGCAAACAGAAATGAAAAATCAAGAGACATAAATGCACTTACTTCATTTCTAGGATTTCCTCTAACTGTTTTCTCCGTTCTAGTCTTAAATTGGCCAGGTGTGCTTCTTTCTCACCCAGAGATTGCTGTGTTGAGGCAAGGCGAGCTTTAGTAGCATCCAGTTCTTGCCTGGTCTTATCCAATGCATTCCGCAATTCTTCTAGCTAAAAAGCATAAATAAATTCAGGTACTCACAATTAGCAAATGAACAAGAAATTATCATTAGTAATCCTATTGTCATTAAATATCTACTCTCTTCAAGGGAACATAGTGAAATAATACTGAATTTTGTGGGTTAAGTAATACATTTTAATAGCATTCTTCATGAAAAGGAAATATATATTGCATCTGATTAAATAAAGAAGAATAAGAGTATTTATTACAGACCTATGACCAATGATGATGGTTCATGTGTCTATTTTTAAAGAAGGATAAAACCTATCAGTTTCATTTCACATGCATTCTCTGAGTGTGTGTGTGTGTGTGTTCCTGCGCGCATGCGCGTGCGCATGAGTGTGTATAATTTCAGGCATTTCAAAATATGTCAGGGTTAGGCATCCATGCTGACTTTTCTTAATTATTTTGTGAGCAAAATAATGATATTGGCACTTACTGGAGCAAAGGTCGTACATTGATTGTGAGTGGATGTGTCAGAAGTGGAAGAGAACTTATTCAGAACTCACATTTGTAACACTGATATTACATAAGATAGGATTACTTAATTAACCAACTTTAAGATGAAACTTCAGCTTATTATTGTTGAAATTCTTGTTGAAATAGTTAAGTGAATTAATCCATTTTTAGTTTTAATAATATCCTAAATCATAAACTAACCAAAGCAAAATTGCAGTGGGCTCACACAGTGTGCTAAACCACAGAAGCACTAAGTGTACCAGGAAATATCACCAGGAATTCTGCCACAGAATGAAGGTTTAAACTAATTGGAGTACCTATGTTGTAAGCATGCACTTAAACATAATGAATAATGTAAATATTGTAAATATTATTTACATAGGATAGAGCTATGTTTTCTCTTTCTATTTTCATCTTTCTCCTGAAGCATACTTTTCCCCTGGCAATTTCACAGGTCCCCAACTTTTTTAGCTATCCAAAAGGCAATAAAGAGATGGATCTTCCTGAGTTGCTGTGGGAGACTGACAAGAAGTGTGTAGATGCAGAAGTGGTATTCAGCAGGTTCTGACCAGTTCTGGAAAACCAGTAGTGGAAATTTTGAGTAGTTCGGAGAATCAGAAAATACCACCTCTGACAGCAGATTCTACAGTATCCTTCCCCTGCCATGCCCACCAAGCCATGCCCACAGAACCGGTAGTAAAAAAAAAATGAATCCCACCACTGTGTAGATGGTGTTGATGGTATCCTACGAAGATTGCTGTGGCACTAAGGTTTTTGTCTTTCCTTTTCAATGTTTTGTTTTTACTTTTTTGTGATTTTATTGTTGTGAGCTTCCTATATTTATGTTATGTCCCTGGAACTTGCCAAAGTCCCCACCCAGGTCCGTTCATGCTGCGGGGGCATTTTCTGCCCCTCATTGGCTGGCCTCCCTCGACAGCCGGCTATAAAAGCCAGCTGCAGGGTCCGGCCAGCCGCTGATCGCTGGAAGCCTGCTCCAGGCAGGGCTAACATGTTCAGTCCTTTATTGTTCCAATAAAGTCTTGTTGCACCAAGCCCTGGTCTAGCCTCTCATTGCTCAACTACAACACTGGCGACGAGGATGGGATGGCTACCAGAGGCAATTCGCAACAGCTGAAATCACTAAAATAACCGCTGAGCCGCAGCCGCGCCGCCGGAGAGCTCGGTCAGCAAAGAGCGAAAGTAATAGCGTCTGTAGCCGCTTTGTTAGCAAGCTACAGAGGAAAGTGAAGCGCTGCGAGCCGCAGCCGCTCAGCACAAAAAGAGCGCGAAATTCAAACGGCTGTCGTTTGGATTTCTAGCCGGAATACAGCGCGGTGCTGTTATTCCGAGCTACTGACACTCACGCAGGCGCGATTTTCAAAGCGCTATCAGAGGCGGCAAGCCAACACCACCTACGCTCCCCAGGAGCGCGAATTTCAAAACGCTGCCAACAGTCGTTGCAGCTCAGCCAATTGTAGCCCAGAGAGAGAGCAGAGAGGTCCATGAAGCCTCTCCAGAGCTGAAGTCACTAGACTAACAAGAGCACAAGTGCCATTTGTGTCCCAGAGAGATTTCTCAACAGCATATCACACAAGAGCCCTCATCATGAACTCCAACCCAGCCTTCCCACCGTTCAAACCGGAAGAAGAAAAATGGGAATCATACAAGAATCGTTTTAACCACTACATCGACGCTATCGGTCTGGCTGATGCTGGGGAGCACAGAAAAAAGTCATTCTTCCTCAGCTATTGCGGAGCCATCGTTTTTGATACTGCCACAGCACTCGTCGCTCCACGTGAGTTAAAAAATGTCCCCTGGCCAGAGTTGCTAGAAATTCTCACCAACCATTATTCCCCCAGGCCCTCACAAATCGCGAGGCATTTCACCTTCCGGATGAGGAAGCAAGCAGAAAAGGAAACCGTCAATCAGTATATGGCCGCCTTGAGGACTGCAGCCCTCCACTGCGGGTTCGGGAACTATCTTGATGACATGCTCCTCGACCAGCTCGTCTGCGGGGTCAAAGACCTTCACCTCCAGAGGCGACTACTCGCCAGGAAGGACCTCAACCTATCCCAGGCCGTCGAGGAAGCCCTGGCAGCAGAGCTGGCAACCCAGTCCGCCTCTGAAATTCAAGGCCCCGTTCCCAAACAAACCTGCGCCACCGTCCATTCAGAAGAAGTAGTCAATGAAGACGACCCTAACGAGCAAACAGACATCCACCGCCTCACTCATGCCAAACAACCACAGGCAGGAGCCAGGCTAGAAACCAACAGCGCACCCAAACACATCATCCTATGCCTATCCTGTGGAGGACCTCACTCAAGAGCTACGTGCAAATTCAAGGGGGCCATTTGTAACCAGTGCCACAAAAAAGGCCACATCGCTAGAGTCTGCCAGGCAACGCACAACTCAGCACAAAAGGTTCCTTCCTTTTCCCATTCTGGACCTCAAAGGCAAGTACTCAATTGTCACACTTGCTACCATGCTAACCACACCTGTCACTCTATTAGTAAAATAACACTTTCCGTTCTATTAGAAGGTAAACCTTGTCGTATGGAGGTTGACACGGGGTCAGCGCTCTCAATTATCTCTTGGAGCACCCTCAAGAAAATCCAGCCCAGACTATCCAGAAACCAGCTCCAGAAGTGCCAGATCTCCTTGAGGGATTACCAGGGAAAAGACATCCCAGTGCTCGGCAAAGGCAAGTTCCTCGTTAATTTTAAAGCTTTTAAAGGCCACCTGCCTCTAGTGGTAGTTAACAGCAACCTTCCCAGTCTTCTGGGGCTTGATTGGTTCCCCTACCTCGGCCTAGGGTTAACAGGAGTCCATGCTGACTCAGCTTCTGACACTGACTCCTTATTCACTGACTACTCAGACGTATTCAGCAATGAGTTGGGGTGCTATAAGGGGACCCCCATCTCATTTACAGTTGACCCCCAAGCGGTTCCAGTCCGGCTGAAACCGCGTAGAGTCCCATTCGCCATTCGGCCTAAACTGGACGCAGAGCTCGATAAATTATTAAAACAGGGGGTCATCGAGCCGACAGACTTCGCCAAATGGGAGACGCCAATTGTCACACCCCTCAAAAAGGATGGCAGTCTGAGAATTTGTTCTGATTACAAAACAACAATCAACCGCTTTCTACAAGTTAGCGCGTACCCAGTCCCGGTCATTCAACATTTACTGCATACCTTTGAGCCTGGCAACATTTTTGCCAAATTGGACATGTCGCGAGCGTATCAGCAGTTCCCCGTTGACAACCAAACGGCGGAACTGCAGACCATTGTGACCCACAGGGGTGCCTTCCGGTGCAAGCGTCTCCAGTTTGGCGTAAGTGTTGCCCCGGGGATTTTCCAATCCCTCATGGAGCGTATACTACAGGGCCTCCCTGGCATAGTACCCTACTTCGACGACATATTGGTCTCGGCCAGGGACAGACCCCAACTCTTCCAGAGAGTCAGAGCAGTGTTAGACAGATTCAGACAGCATGGCCTCAAATTAAAAAAGGAAAAATGTGCCATTGCCACTAGACAGGTGGACTTTCTGGGCTATAAGATTGACGCCTCAGGCATCCACCCCCTAGAGTCCAAGGTCAAGGCAATTCATGAGGCACCCACGCCAACCTCTAAAGCCGAGCTACAAGCCTTTTTGGGATTATTGAACTTTTATGCATCATTTCTACCTCACAAAGCATCAGTAGCAGAGCCTCTACACAGGCTCTTAGATAAAAAAGCGCCTTGGCACTGGGGACACGAGGAAGACACCGCTTTCCGCGCAGTCAAATCACTGCTCACATCTGACGCGGTCCTCATTCAATTCGACCCACACCTTCCACTGGTACTAGCCGCGGACGCTTCCCCTTTTGGGATTGGCGCCGTATTAAGCCATAGACTACCCAATGGCTCTGAGGCACCGATTGCCTTCTTTTCCAGAACGCTCTCAGCAACAGAGCGTAACTATAGTGAGATCGACAAGGAGGCTTTAGCCGCAGTGGCCGCGGTTAAGAAATTTCATGAATTCCTGTTTGGCCACAACTTTGAGCTAATCACGGACCACAAGCCTCTCCTGGGTCTTCTTTCCGGGGACAAGCAGACTCCCCAAGTGTTGTCTCCCAGAATGATGAGGTGGACTTTATTCCTGGCGGCTTATTCGTACAAGCTCATCCACCGCCCAGGAAAAACGTTAAGTCACGCAGACGCCCTCAGCCGCTGCCCCCTGCCAGCTCCAGCAGAAGACCCGGCCCCGGTCCACGCCATCTTCGATGTCACCGAGCTCGACCTCCCTGTCACCGCTCTAGACATCGCCACCAAATCCAAGACGGACAAAACCATCGCCCAGGTACTGGACTGGGTGAGGAGGGGGTGGCCGGGCTCAAACCTCTCAGCCGAATTCACACCTTTTAAGACCCATCAACAGGAGCTGTCTAGCATACAGGGCTGCCTGCTGTGGGGCACCCGGGTGGTTATCCCGGCCGCACTTCGCACACCAGTCTTAGAGGCACTACACGAGGGCCACCCGGGCATCGTCCGGA